CATAAGATAACTTTCGTTTTAGTGTAGTTTCAGAAAGAGCAAACTGTGTGGGATTTGAAGTGTTTTGTTTTTTTTTTACTGGCTCCATCTGCCTGGGTGAAGTATGCTAGATTTCCGTTTCTGCGCTAGAGAAGCTTTCATTCAACCTGAGATTGAAACTTTCGTCCACTCTAAACAAACACGGCCAATAAAAGATTAAAATGCAAGATATTATACGTCTCTTAGGACGTTGTTCTAATGGCTAAAAACATTCACAAAAGATACTCATGCGCAGTAACTCTTATTTTCGGAAAAATATATCTTATATTACAATATACATTATTTTTATTGAAAAAAAAATTTTAATAATTAATTGCACATACAAGTTAATATCTATTTCTTTGAAATGTTATATTAATTAAGTTAATACTCTCCTTAAATAATTTATCATATAAGCCAATCCTCAATTCTATGTTTTCTTTAAACTTTTTTTTGACATAAAATAACTTTTACTGTTGTAGCAAACTTACAAGTGTTAAATAACTCTCAACATAAGGAAATTTATGGAGTTAGCTACCAGTAAATATCTCTTTGTAGGAGGTAATTCTCTCTTTTGGGAAGAATATTATGATGATATAAAATGTTTGTCGTGAGATAACTCTAACTTTTATGCAAAATGTAGGGTTAGGAAACATTATCTTATACAAAGATCATTCTTAGATTTATTAAAAATGAAATAGGAAAAATATTCCCAAATAATGTTGTTGTTGTTGTTGTTGTTTGTTTTTATTATTGGAAATATTGTTGCTTTTCCATATTTTCTTTGTTTTACTTTTTATAAAATATTTATGAAGTTCATTATCTCCTGCACTAATTAAACAAGGCTTTGTTGAAGTTATTGTTAAACTATTGTTCACTATTGTTATTGTTGAATATTTTCTACACTAATGTTTTGAATAACTTTTTTCAATAATCTAAAATTTATGAAGATAAACCTACCATTTATAATTATATTTTATGAAAACCCAAATTTCTGTGGATTTAGAGTTAGCTCTGTCTTCGTTAATACAAAATCATAGTTCTAGTTAGTTTCACTGCCTTTAACCTTGTGCTGATAAAAATAAAAACACTGTACACTTATTATTGTCAGTAATGATAGAATGTTTGGCGCCTATTAAGCTTTCGATAAATATTCCGCTATTCATAATATATATTAACTATCAGACTAAACACCACCTTACAATATTAATTAACTATCTTTTTCATATTTATTTTCTTAGCAATATATATATATATATATATGCTTTATCAAAGTAGATATTAACACAATAGAATATTATCAGTCTTGCTTCGCAACTTCCCACTGAGGCCATTATTTTACAATTGTTATTAAGTAATTATTTTAATTAAATTACACATTCCTGTGTGTTTATGAGAGTGTACTTGAATTTTAGGTTACATGGGAAACTTGAGTAGTTGAATTTTGAAACAACGCTTCTATGCAACTTTTGAGCTGCGCGTGGTTGTTGGCCTTTGTAGAACGAATAGCTCACCAGATGTCGCTTCAGTATGGCTGTGCGTGTTGGTGAAATTTTTTTCTTCTCCCTACGTCGATCTGAAACACAAGTAACCTAGTGTAGTTGTAAATCAGAATTTTGTTAAAACATATCCCAATTACTTAACTAGTTGAATGTGAATGCGATGGTGAGAAAAAGTGGCCATGTTCATATGATGTGCGACACGCATTATGTGATAATCTTCAGTTTACTGATCGAAATCAGAATTTACATGAACACGTATGTGCACAGCCGGCAGAGCGTAGCGCAACGTCTGCTAGGAAAGAAATCACTAATTTAAGCTCTGTTTATTAAGGATTACAGGGTTTATTTGCACGTATATG